GAAATGATGACTTGCTATTTTAAACAAATGATTTGTTAATTTCAGCTTGCATGCACTGTATGAATGTTATTTTAATAACATTGTACCCATATGAATCCATGATTGTCGTGAAGTGGTGCTTTATTTGAATTTAATACATTTGATGCTCTATTACCTGACCTGGAACGCATTCGTAGCCATACCGAGACAATTACAATACTGTGGTATAACTGTATATATATTGTGTACATAGGTTAAGCGTCTGCGAGACCAGCTGTTCTAACTTACAAACGTCCAGGTGACGAGATAGAACATGAGAGGAATGTTTTTGACTTTTGACAGGAGCTGTAGGCAATTCACACTTTTGAATTTGTACTATTCTTCTTTTTGGATAACGACGCTTTAGCTTGTAAGCGAAAAATACATCACTGGCGTCACGAGCAGCAGCAATACTAAAAACGTCTTTTAATATCAACGGCTATCAAACCCGTGCTCCTGCTTACAAATAAATGCTATGACCCAATCACCTGCCCTCTGGACTGGTTTTTAAGTAAGTTGTTTTAGTGACAAATTTTGTACAGCATGATTATTTAGCCTCTCTATCTTAATCCTTCCAACGTAGGTATCTTGTGATAAAAAAATTGTTGTTTACCTTACACTGTTACAATGTTTTACCATTTATATATATATATATATGTTTGTCGAAATACTTGCTCCTGAGAGCTTATGTTAACTATGACAATTATTCAACGTAAAATAATGATTCTTATAAGTTATATCTTGTATTTTGAAGTAACATGCCACTATGCTTTTATCCGATAATTTTAAGATAAAAAAAACACACACAAGCTTTTAATCACGAACTTTTCCTCGAATGCGCCTATGTATAATCATCGGCACGATGAAGGACACAAGTTAAGGTATACTGTTGATGCCGACATGTATCTGGTACAAATGTATATAACTGTAAAACGAAAGTAGGCCTGCGCGATCGCAAATATTTAATGCTGATATTTTCGCATAAATGTCAGTTAGTACTTGATGTGAGAGCAATGGATTAAACGAGTGTTACCTTGTGTTGTTTTCTAGCACATCAGTGTCTCAATACATACGGTATTAATCTGTTAATGTTCGATAAACGTCTGTTTATTATTACTGTCCTGATTATGTTGTGAGGTATTTCCGGGTCACGTTCTCGTATCAAGTGCGCTTCCGGTTACGTCATAAAATGCAATTTTTCAATTCACAAAATCTTGATATCTATTAATTAAAGATAGTTTAAAGAATAAACAAAAAAGAAATATAGTAAATAATTGATAGTAAATTTATCAAAAACATCATCCTTAGAGAGTAAGGTCTGGGCATGATCGTTTAGAAGCTTTGAAATACTTCAAACTCTTTCAAACGCACATCAGCTCGAGATTAGGCCCCTGTTTACAAAATGGCGACTGGAAGTAGCAAGGCGGATTAAATTGGAACTTCAATTGTGAATATTTCGGCAAGTAAACATTGTTCACAAAGCCCATATGGTCTGTTCATCTAATTTAGCCAAGATGTACTCAGACCAGTCGTTGTTTAGCCGCTAGGGTCATTCACAAAAAAATAGTATTATTATATAAACTTATTGTAAATAACAAACAAATCAACAGCCAGAAGCCATTTCCAGCAATGATATTTTCTACACAAAAAAAAATGTGTTCATTTTAGAATAAAAGTATCTTATAACTTTTGTATACCAAACTTATTTTTATTATAGATGGACTAGGTCCTGAACTACCAGTGACAAAAAATATCAATCCAAAATATGTAGTGAAACATATTCAAAGAAGGGATCAAATGACTATATGGTCTATACATCAAAATGCATGACTATACGTATAGTCTAATCATTATGATTGAAACTGACAGAAAAGAAGACAAATTGTTCCGGTTTGGATGGAATGAGTATTTGATCAACAGAAAATATGTTTGGAAAAGATTCGATGTTTGGTTCCTTTTCAAGATAGCCACCAAAAGATTCATTTTACTGTCCAATCAGTTGTCGAATTCATAGACAACTATCAATAGAATTCCGAGATTAATTTTTCTTTTGCTACTTTGTTTTAACATATATGTTAAAGTTAGACGCCGTATTGATAGCTGATGACATTTACAGATAACGTTTTGCAAGACGCAAGGGTATGAAATGTGTTCGAATGTCAGACTTGGAAAAAAGAACGAGGAAAAAATGATGCTGGGCTTTGAATTTGTTTTCAAACTGGTGATTCTAGATTCACCAGGAAACAACTTATTTCAGTCTTTGTCGGAATATTTTAGCCCTTGGGTGCAACTGTTTTGGATTTTGAAGATTGCTATGATAGCCTGTCATAAATTATATTTGATGTAGGAGCACACATTCCCATAGTTCTTTGACCAACTATGAAAATGTTTGGTATACAAGAATAAGAAGAATGAAAAATCCTATATTTTACATTGAAATTTCGATTAATCTCATATGCTTGATGATAAATATTATATTAAAGCACTGCAGGAAAGGAAATGTTCTTTCCTAAGTATAACGATGCAAAAAATACGATTTTTTTTCAGAAAAATACTTTCAGGCTGTTATTCCATTTTTCGACCCCCATGCTGTAATTAGGTTAATTAATCATCTAAATAATTAGAAGAGTGATTCAAAGTAATAACAGCAGATGTATAAATGATTAGAAAGAGTTAAAACAGCAGCACAAATCTCGAAGCACTTCTGAAACAAATGTTATGAGGGGGCAGTAATGCATTAAAAAGTCATCAAGTATTATTTTACACCGATAGTGTTAAATAAGTCAGTCATCAGGGTATTATACCACGATATTATTGGATAAGTTAAGTCAGTCATCAAGTTATTTTACATAGTATTTGATAAGTCGATCACCAATTTGTATTACATTAATATCAGTTAATAAATCAGTCGATATATTTAATAACCTGTATGGTAATGGATAAGTTGAACAACATTATTAGTCGGGGATAAATCGGCACCAAGTTACTATTACCAGACTATTAACAGTCAGGGATAAATCGGCACCAAGTTACTATTACCAGACTATTACCAGAAAATAAATATAATAAAACACCATAAAGTGGATTTTATATTTTTATTAAAAATATTAACAACTCATTCAGGACATACTTCACGTCCGATACATAAATATGATAACAACAATGACGATCATGTACTCGCCTAACCTAGCGCCCGAACAGACCGATCCAATATACGTTCACGTGTATATATGCACGCACATATGAACATCCGAATCACAATGAAACTGACCTCACAGAGAACTCAGCGTTATAATTACGCTGATATATCATTCTCACCACTCTTTCCAACTAACAACTACCCATCAACAGACAATCTCTCACTTGCAACTGCAGCTATAAACATCTAGATCACTCGGTGCTGACGTCAATATAAGAGAATTCAACTTCACAAAGGAGCTATGACAGACATATATATATAGATATATAAATATTTAATGGGTTTTTGCTCTTGAATGAATAAGAACTTATTTTACTTTATATGTAAATGAGGGACCAGATACTATATCAAAACCATTGACAAGAGATATACTTTGTAAATTACGATGTGAAACATATGCACGTTGCTTAGGACAATGTTTACATTATTTGTTCAAAACATTCACTTCTATACATATAATGTTTAACATGGCGAACAAGTTCTTCCATGTATACATTGTGCACTGGTCAACATTTTATAAAATCCATGTACAATAGTTACAAGGGGAAATAGTTCTACGTTTTTGTTACTCCATTTACAATCAAAAAGCACAAGACAGCCATTGTACACTTAAACCTGATAAAAACGGAAGGCGATTGATAAATTATATATCTCATAAATTTGCAATCATATCCTATGTAATGAAATGATTATCATTTACCAATCTAACGCTAACCATTCATTTGACATAATTCTATACGAAGACAAATACAATAAAACAATTATATGAATTCATCATTTGGCACTTACGGTATGCAAGAAAAAAACTTTCTTATACAAACTATCATGAAACTGTTGTTTGCCTGAAATGTTGATGAATCTATCCTACAGCAATTCTTAAATAAATTTACGGTTCATCCCTGTTGCAATAAAGCGAAGATAAGGATTTACCTTCATCTCACTCTATCATTGTTTGTCAATAGACCAACAATAAAAATGATTCATTCCACCTATTGCTTTCAAATCATCTTCTTTCTCTCTCACTAAATGCACATGGTATAAGATTACAAGTCTCATAACATCTAAATATTTCATAGAAAAATCGTTATACATCACAATTGTATTTGAATAACAATGGGATATGACAATAGAAACAATTCACCGTGATATATCAACGATGTAAATGTGCATATAAGATCACGTGACAATCTACTTATAATTCACGTCACTTAATTCCGTATTAATGAAAAAGAAACCATTCATTGAAAAAAAGAGAGAATCAATTAACGTGTCGTCTTTTGGTCTCGTGAATTTTTATTAATTACTGACTCTATGATGAAGAAAAATAGTTCTACTGATGGAGACAGGAGAAATGAAGAACGCGATCAAATGTTTCTATTAAATATTTATAAACCGTTTATTATCTATTACAAAGAATGTATTCTACGTAAATAGTCTACATTTGCTGATAGTTACTTTAACGAGTTGTTGTTAATTTGATGTTTCACTGTTACAAGAGAAGATAAATAACAATTTAAGATACATGTATCGTTACGGTGAGATCCATCAGGTTTGTTAAGTCTCTATATATATATATACAATATCTAAAATATACAGGAAATCGCTAAATGAACTGCGAAAGATGATATTTGTACATAATGTACTTGTAATGAAATGGAATGTTACCCGCTTTATGGACGATCTAAATGTTTCAGACTACCATTTTATACATTGACTAGAGAAGATAGGTTTAACATAAGAAGGTCATGCATTTATATGGTAGAAAAAGTCTATTCTTTTTTACTCGAGCGCGGTTAGAATAATACTGAAATTATCATCATTTGAAATCCAAGCTCATCTAGGTGTGTTGAGGACTTACACAGTGCCATTTAATGCCATCAAGTAATGCATACGTTGAGAATAGTACATATGATAGCACTATAAGACGAAATATTTGCTGATAATATATATTAATGTAAATATAATGTCTTTAAATACATTTTTATTCGGTATTACTTACATTAACTTTATTTTCGATCTGTTTTGTCATTTCAAACTCAATAACAAAAGTTGCAAGTATATCTTGTATTTCTATTTGTGATGAAAGTCAGGACATATTTGAGAACACAATAACTCGTGAACGGCAGAAATTGTAACACACTGAACACCAGACTCATGAAGACAAATCAATCCTCTATACACCCAAATACTGTACCTCAGGCTGCCGAATAGCAACACATTTATACTTTCTTCGTATACATTGTTACTGTAAAGGTGGACTTTTTCGCGGTTTGGAAATGCTGGCTTTTTGCGCCTGGAGGGAACTAATCTACAAATATTTACTTAAAGATATTATTAATTTTAGATATATTGAATACACAGTTTTTGTTAAACATTGCAAACGCGAAAAATTTCAACACCGAGTTCAGCTTAGAGAATCACAGCACAAGAACTTCCACACTCGAGAATTTTCAAATATACGATTTCATAATACCTTCAAATAAATGCGGCATATGGAAGCATAATAATAATTATTATTCTTCTTTGGTGAGTATGGATTAAACTGATGGTTGATTTATTTTAAGTAGAATTCTTTCATTTACTGTTTGTAGTATTTTCCAAGAATGTAGTAATTATTTAGAACAATGTGGAGAAAACATAATTCTGTCACCAATTAATTCATATGTTACAACATCGTCTTCTTTATCTGTAAACATATGATAATGGAACACCGGATGTAGGTCATAATTTGGTATTGAAATACACTTGCAGCGACAAACTGAACAGCATCATTACTGACTACGATGTAAATTTTGTTATTGAAGACTCGCAATCGTTTTGAATATTGTACAAAGGAAACATTGCCTTAATGAGCTTCCGTGGTGATATATGATCGTAGAAGGTGGTTCGAGGGTTACATAACTGACCACTCCAGACAGGCTTTGGTTCATTTGCAGTCAGAACTGACCACTCCTGATATATGTTTATTCTGTATAGCACAATATTTACCGGTCTTAACATTCTTTGGGTAGGTAGAGAACACAACTGCCCATGCATGGTATACCTAGTTTCAACGACTTATAGAAATGGCAAACTCCATCACACCTTGGTTCGGTGAAAGACAGACAGAAACGCTCCTGACATCCATTGTTCCGGGGGCAGACATACGTGAAGAGTCTTGACATACACGGGTTCGGTGATGGATCAATCTTGACATGTATTTCATGCATCATAGTCCAAAATCATGTAACCAGGGTTGGTGAAAATATCACAGATAGCTAGGAAACTAACCTACAAAACAACAAGCCCTGAGCTTTTATAATCATAACACATCAAGAACATAACATTGACTGGTCTATCGTTTTATCTATACATAATGACATATACCTTTGAAATATATATGAAGAGCCCCGTGAAGGGTGAAGGCTGTCAGTTGTTATTCGGTCAATATGTATTTTTCTATATATTACAGTTTTTAAAGATATTAGTTATTTATGCTGTGTTCCTCGAATTTATCATAGTCAAATGAGGACAATTCCTAAGTTAAACACATAAGGTAGATAACTCGCATTAATTATGCATAAGTCATTTTCGGGACTTCCTTACCTGAAAACAATAGCTCTCTTCATCCGAATGAATGATATTGCCACACTGTCTTCATACCCCTGTCAAAGAAAATTATAACATAAATCAGCAAACTATGAATAACATATCAAAGCATTGATTTAAAGACATATTAAGAGTGGAATTTCATTTAAAATGTTGCTCATCAACAACCACATTTCTAATCATAAAGAAAACACTAGATGTTTATAAAGTGGTGTTGATAATTTCAAACGTAAAAGTTGGCAAAAAGCATTCTCCACATCAAGATTACTAACAGCTATGTACTGCCATAAAAAGTTTGGTGAGACAAGCAGTGCGCATGTCAATAAGTGGTTTGTTAATTTAAAAAGGCAATGCTCACTTGGTATATGAATTTTTAAGTCGAACCCCGTTATAACGAATCGAGACTAACTTCAAAAACCTCTTCAATTTAAAACAATATTTTTGAATTCATTTGCGTCTGCGCAAAGCATAGAAATGGTATGACAATGATGCATTTTGAATGCAACATTTTACATATTCTGTCCATATGTTATTTCAAAATCATTTCTATTCATAACGATTTCGAACCAGCAAAGTTGATTTTAGTCTCACCAAGCGACAAAGTGTTTTAGACATTGTTCGTAAGACAATCTTTTTGATGGTGTTAAAACCTCAAACACGTTCTTTCGAATCCCAATATGCCTAACACAGCAGTATCTAGTATTTCCAAGTATCGCCTCTTTATTATCAAATTAATTACAATGCATGGCCTATAATTAAGTTAGCACTTGTTTCAAAACAAATCTTTGGAATTAAAAAAGTGCAATTACATTAACGTACTGGAACAACTAATGCGTGAAATAGGTCAAAGAAAACTTCAAGGTAAGAGTTGAGATATCATTAAAATAGACCGTTTGTTTCTATAAGATATACTTATTCAAAATCCCGCTTTTTTGCAATGAAACAGAACAAGATTGTTCAAAATAAAGATTGACCGCAGGATGCTTACTATTCTACACGTGTTGTACTTAAAAGCAATTAAAATACTATCTTTATTTTTCGACTTATTGTAAGGAATATAAACACTTCCTGCAACAATTAGAATGAATGATTTGAAAAGGATTTTGTACGGTGTGAGATTTCATTCTTATGAATACCCTTCAGAAAATATTTCTCAAAAAGCAAATAAAACGTTTCAAAGACGACCTTAATGAACATATGGCAGTTATTGGTACTGTCATATTGTGTCATACTGTTATTTGAACCCTGCATAATCCAAAATCTTGCTAATTCTATATGAAGTGCCCGTTTGATATTAATTTTATTTTACATATACGATATAACATGTAAAATAAATTGCTTTACAGCTTAAGTTCAACAGACGAGTTGTCGGACGCTACACATCTAGCATGGACGTCAGTCATTCCAGGAAACACAGCCTTAATGTTCAGAAACCATGCGGTTCGTTCCTTCCCTAACATCATGCTACGTGATTCATTTAAGCTATTGGAGATGATTCAAAATAGAGACGAAGCGTGTACTGTCATTAAAAACAGCAACAGCTTACTCTAATGTCGTACAATCACAAGGCTGTGGCTATGTGTAAAGGTTATTCAGGTTGATCATCAGTATACAACTGTGAAGTGTATTCAACTTAGTTTGCTTCGATATTGAGCGAGTCTTTTCAAAATACAAGATCACGAAGGAATTACCACGAGTAGCGACAACATATCTTTAATATCTAATAAATTATGATATACTTAAAATCGAAACAAATATTTGCATACCCTATTTGAAGTGTAGACTTCTGAATATATAATCTATCTTTGATGTTTACTAATCAGCTCACAAGTGCATTGCGTGTTCATACTATCAGATATAGGTTTATATCGCGGAGTTAGTGAAATGATACATGTGCGATTTTAATGATGGGGGCAGGATTATACAGACTTATGAATGATTTATGATTAGTTATTTGATGGGTGCATCGAACATGCATGAAGTAAGGTATACATGTTAGTGGCATGAGGTTTGAATACAAGTAGTGTATTTTAATTTGATTTATTTCATCTATGCATGCAATTATTTACATTCTTTTCGCTGAAATAAGAACATATATTAGTATTAGTTACCACAGTATTTTAAACAATATCATAGTTTACCTAAGCTAACCTTCTAACAAGAAGCACATTGAGTTATCGTTAATTTGAATTTTAAAAAATAGCTCAGTTATTTCTCTAAAAGATGCATCCAAAATTAAATCTACGATTGTTCACCATCATTGACTCATTTATATATGACACGTGTCCTATAAGAAATCGATAACACATTCAGTATATTTGTCAGATTCTAAGATAGTTATAAATACACATATTAAAAGGTTTTAATATATTTCTTTGTTCTTCATAGAAGTATGACATATATAGAAAACACAAATCATCAAAAGACTTAGTTCTTTTCTATAACACAAATATTATAATACATAAATATTCACAGTTGTTTATAAATCATCAAAAAGTGTAAAAATAGAAAAAAGACAACAATAAGAATTTGAAATAGGAACATGATAAAAACATACGGAATAATATAAACCTTGACAAGGAACAAAACACATCACAGAAAGCAGAACAATGGAGTGAGCGGAACCAATGAAAACTTCTTGAAAGTGAAAGATCGCTGGGAGCAAAAAACTCAATATTCGGTCATGCGGAAAAATAAAGAGATTTCCCGTTTAAACTTGTAAGGATAGTCGATAGAAGTAGGAAGGAAGGATAGAGACAGAGAGTAGCTTAAAACGCAATAACCTGTTTTCGCTATTTTTCTTAGGAAGGAGCCGATGTGAAAGGCGTGCACAGTATTTGTTCTTCTTTGAACGGGGGTACAGGATGTGACGTGCTACAGACATGATGTGCGACAAACCACTGAAACAATGGACTACTTTACCAGGAGCATGCTCAGACGACTGAAGGTGCATGTCACGTGGTTTGTGCGGCAGAAGAGGCGAAGAGTGAGTCGAGGAGATGTCCATAGATTCAGAGGTAGTTAGTCCTACAGAGCAAAAGTGAAGTCAATGAAGACTCTGGCCGAGAAGCACAGTTTGGAGTCTGACGTCTGTTGTGTAATTATGCCTCCAGTCCGGTTGTAGAGAGTAGAGATAGCACACATACACATAGCGTCCATTTCACTACTAAATATGTATCAGTGGTTTGTATACAAAAAAATAATGCAACCTTTAAAATATCATGTATATCATCCGCTAGTTACACAACAAGAACCATTCCCTAGTAGTTACAGTACAAACAAATACAATAAACTAGTTACTTTGTTGTTGCATAGAAATTAGTCAACATATTCGAATAAAGAAATGAAAGTGATTTGAACAGTAGTTCATTGCTTAGAACCACACAACTGAAATCCATAGTGAACACAACACAATCACAACATCAATACAGAGGCTGTTTACTTACTGTCGACATCTGTCAAAGCTCCTAACGACCTTCTTCTACCCCCTAGTCCATCTCCTTTATTACCCTGAACGTAAAATATTCACTTTTATTACGAATGAAACATCTATGTCGATATTCTGAATGTCGATGGAAAATGCTACTCAACATTAACATTGTCACGTTATCACGTGATGCAGCCATTAAAAGACAAAATAATAAACCGAGCTAACAAACGCAGATGACATAAGAACAATCGATGTTAACACGCCAGTGCTGCCTCAGGTCACAAACAAACACTTTCTAAGTGAGCAAAGATATGGATGGGGCTGTTAAATATAACTTGTTTCGTGATGCAGCCATTTACATAGAGTTTGGCAGTTTTTGAAACTATCAACAGCAAAACGCACGTTACCATAAAAATGGCCGTAGAAATAAACAGCACAATCATTTCATAGTTATCTCCCTTTCCATGATAGAGAAAACTCCATAATGTCAAATCAAATAGAACTAACTGTTCTGTATGTATGAAAATAAGCTAGACATATGCATATCCGGGAATAAACATTGCCATTTAGGAAGGAAAAAATTAAATTGTTTCCTTTTTTTTAATTCGGTCTTAAATTAACATAGTTTTAAAGGTTTTGAAGGATGCTATAATATCTCATAATAAAATAATATGCAGTCAGTATTATAATTTATTTTCACATGCCTTTAAAAAAATGCCATGTACTTACCCGATACTGTTTGCTCGGGGAATCTCTGCTGCCTCTCGACTGATTCGGTGATCCTGTTCGGATGGTGTTTTGTACAGACCTTATGGTAGGTGGCAGCACCGTTGGCTTTGGAAGTTCCACACCAGTAGTGTTGTCATGTTCACGTAATGGATACCAGTGTGGCAAATTGTCAAGGAAACCAGGCACTGAAAAGGACAAGAAATGCTGGAATCTTAGGTTAACTAAAGTGATCTTGCTTTATATATATTTCGGTCATATATGCACGCTTTTACCACAGTCCAGTTCTATATTCACAAAGCTTTAAGGGCGATTTCTGAAATATTAATACACAAGCTACCCGAACACGCATTTGCGTAGATTTTCTTAATTGCTTATTCTAAATGATGTTATTTGAGGCACGGTAGTCTTGTGGTAGGACGCTGGGCTCGAAACCGAAAGATTGCAGGTTCGCGTAACGTCACGGCACTGTGTTGTATCGTTGATTAAGATACTTAACTCCGCTTGTTCCAATCTACTCAGCTGTAAATGAGTACATGGGTTGGCAGTGCTAGAATTGTTGAACGCTAGCTGTGAACGCCGAAACGGCAGCACCGGCTTTATGCTCCCCAGGGAGTTGGGAAAGATATTGGCTGGTTTCAAAGGCACTATAACCACGGATGTCTATATGTGAACCGCTTTGAAACAACCCACGAACAAGGTTGTGATAAAGCGGTATGTAAGAACCTCGAGTTATATATTATTATTATGTCATACATTTTATTCCATTGGTTATACAGTTACTTTACTATATAATTCATATATATATTTGAGACAAAAATACATTTTTGTCTCTTCAAACTTATTAGAGTTAATTCATTTCATTTGAAGAGAAACCCCTTAAATGCTTTTGATGCTAATATATCCTCCTTCCTATGAGTCATAGCAGGTCATGATTAAACATCGTACTCGGTAAATCATTTTCCTCACATGTGGTACATATGTAGTTAACTCTATAATCGTTGATTGTTTTGCTTTCATTGCCGTCGTTTTACTATTTTGTACAAAAAAAACCAATTGCCTGTTTACGACGAATACATTAATATTTATTTCCTCTTTATTAATGTTGTGTACACTGATCTAGGCTTTCAGGGAACGTGGTTATTTTTTCGTCGTTCAAGGCCAAGGGCAATAAATGCATAATACTATTAGAACACTTACCCGACAAGTCAATGATGACCTCGCCGAGAAAGTCGTTAGCCTTAAACCGGTCATAGTCCCAGACCGTGATCTCAAGTGTCTTGTATTGGAGCTCTTCTCTGTGGAGGTCCTGAAACACCACTGTCTGGTACCACTCTGGGCTCAACGTTTTCGATATGTGCTTGGTCCGCCGCTTATTCTCTGCACTGAAACCCAAGGGACAAAGCATTGATCTTTATTGTCTATTGCCTGTACTTGTACTTAATGGACCAAGAAATGGACAAAGATGAATTTCAAATTACTATGAAATATATTATGGTACACGCCATTGAGAATTATACATGCTGTCCAATATATTAATTCTGATGATGAAACACGACGCTTTTATAACGATAATATGTGTTCTTGTCCATGATGTACAATCGAAATATCAGCAAGTAGCAGAGGGATTCACTCACCATCGACCAGGAAGAAGATAAATCTTCACAAAAGGATCGGATAGCCCGTTCATGTCTTGTGGGGTAAGGTTCTTGGCCGCAATAATGTGTATACTGAAGGTACTGTCGAAATCATCATGACTAAGTTGCAACTGCAATTGGCAAACAGGACGTCGTGTGTTATTTTCTTGTAAGGAATACCTCCATACTCATCACCATTATTTAAAGTGTGATTTCTAAAAATCGTTTTAACTTTCTGTACTTTAACCGGGTTGAATGATAATTAAACATCATATATAACAAGGTTTTAGAAACTATATCTTGTGCACTGTTTTAGTTGAAAATGCATCTGTAGCGACCACTCTATCTATCAAGAAAATTATGTTCTAAGTTAAGCTGTAACTGATGAACAGTACCAAATATAATACAAAACAAAATTTGTCGTGTACCATCTTTTTGTAAAGAACATCTCCATATGGCATGACAAACAGCAGGAGGACTTTTTAATCATGAAACTTACTATTAATACACGGATTCGAATAATATTCGAAAGCATTAGGGTAGATTTGAAGCGTAATGCTAATAAACATATGAGAATTTGATAATACATAATACCTGTATGTCACCCATTGTTCTTTCTTTCTCAAAAACAGGCTGAAAATGAAGATTTGACATTATAAAAAATACATAGAAAGATATTGTTGTAAGTTTATGAAAACGGGTTGTTTTTGCATTACATATAATCAATTTAAAAGTGTCAATAATACTACTATTTACAACTTTCCTTGATAATCCCCGCTTGTGTTGATTTATACAATACCAAGTAGTAAAGGTAACAAAATCAATAAGGAGCGAATAGTTCACTCTGTTCAAAGTACGAAACATGATGCCAAGTGAAAAGAGTTACTGACGTTGATAGACATCGTAAGATCTGATAAGTGTGTGTAGGTTGATGCTCTGTAAAAATCCATATATTAACAGCAAAAAAAATTCTCAAAAATGAAATAATAAAATACAAGCTTGACAACTTACCTGTATATCGTCTTCCTCTACTGGTAGTTCTGGGGGTTTAGACGGGCCCTTAAATAACAAATATGTTATGTTAATATCATATAGCAGATGATGTTATTATATCGTATAGAAGATGCTGTTAATATCATATAGCATCATATAGCAGATGCTGTTAATATCATATAGCAGGTGCTACTGATATATCATATATCAGATGCTGATAATATATCATATAGCAGATGCTGCTAAAATCATATAGCAGATGCTGATAATATATCATATAGCAGATGCAGCTAAGATATAACATAGCAGATGCTGCTAAGATATCATATAGCAGACCCTGATAATATATCATATAGCAGATGCTGCTAATATCATATAGCAGATGCTGATAATATATCATACAGCAGATGCTGCTAATATATTATATATCAGATGCTGATAATATATCATATAGCAGATGCTGCTAAGATATAACATAGCAGATGCTGCTAAGATATTTTATAGCAGACCCTGATAATATATCATATATCAGATGCTGATAATATATCATATAGCAGATGCTGATAATATATCATATAGCAGATGCTGCTAATATAAAGAAACAAGCGTGGCAATTAACAGATAAGATATCAAATAGTGTAATAGATAATCAAACTTGAAAATCATTCTTTCTCGGCAAAACATTAATTAACTCAAATATTCAAAATGATGTATTATCAGACATACACTTTATTGAAAAGCTGATACGGTTATTTGAATCCAATATTGGCTTGTTCTGTTTGTAGTTTTAAAACCATAGAAATACAATTAATAATAAACAAATTACTGTTATTTTTCAAACATTAAGATAGAAAATTAGGCAAATGCGAATTGGTTCAGCACTAACCACAGCGGCTGGTCTCTCCTTCTCCGTGCTGCTAGGAATGCTGGCCTGACGCTGTCGGTCGGAGGACGTGGAGGTAGGGTCGGAATGAGGGGAACTACAAGGGGACGACATACTAGGAGTGAGGAACTCGGGCTGGGACGAGGAAGCCGACTCGGCGGGTGAGTCCTTCTCCTGGATACCCTCTAACTGGGCAGCTAGCTGTTTAGGATCTACGCCGTGGTTGGACTTCAAACACCTCTCTGTAATCAGTAAGTACATTTTATCGCTTGTTTCTGTTATATCTTTGTGTTACATAACATCATTTGTCTCTTACTTATTTGATGAAACAATTTTTACACATTTTATACATTATGTATAATATATTGCTAATTACGTGCACAATTATAGAAATGCAAGGCCATCGTTATATTTCTGTGTATAACTTAGAATGTCACTGGTTCGATTTTGCTTTATTGTTTTGCGATATCTATTGATGATTCTAGAGACAATTTGCAACCTAACACGCTCAGCCACACTTTTGACTATATTTGCCACCAGCGAGCAATAAAAGGTTTAGGTATCGTGTTATTGTGTGATATAATTTTGACGATAATGACAAGAAGTCTGGTTACGATATATTTATGATTCTTGCGACACGAGTATAGATTTATCAGGTGCCATGTTGTTTAGTATTAAATTCCTACTCAAATAGTGATTATACAAACATGTACAATATTCACAAATTGCAACTATTTTTTTTTCTCAAATCTTTAGACATTTGAAATTTGGGCCTAACAACTGTTTCATAATCCTGCGGACAGATCTCAATATTTGTTACTTTATTGTTATTCCTGGTGATACGAAATTATTACTAGAAACACAAGAACAGAGCATGTCAAGTGACATAATCTTAATATCTTACTTTTGTTTTCTTCTGACGATTGAATTAGGTAACAATTTTTAATGCTACAATGTTATACAATAATAAACACAGTTGAGAAAAACAACTCACCATACACGTCATCGGGCACGAACTCCAGATTATCATAGGATGAGTGGCAGCTCCCTGGATCTGTCTCCTTTGTATGTGACCTAGGTCCACTGAAAAACAGCAAACATACCTTAATTAAATACGCATTTGACAATTGGTACATTATACATCTCTAACTGTTTTTTTAAAACATTTCTGTTGACATTCCTAAATTGACTAACATATGTTATTGCAATTATAGGACTATGAACAAAATTTGATAAATAGAATAACGTGTGAACATGTAGGGGATGCTACGCTCTTCTGTTGCTATTACTGACATCTTTTTTGTTTTACGTTTATGGCGGTTTAAATATAAATTGAGAAATAGCGATAACAAATTTGAACTCAAAAAATCAAAAATGGCTGTATCTTGTTTTTTTCCCATTAGTCCCAAAATAAAACCGGCACAACAATTGATGTCTTATAATTTGATAAGCGTGAACATGTTTTATTTTTAGCAATACCGTTAGACAACTTACGGTCGAACGACCAGCTCTATCTCGCCATTGGGCTGCCCGATGATCTGTTGAACCTCCTCGTACGTTTTGGTAGTCAACTCGATACCGTTCCATTCCACTATTTGGTCACCTAATCAAACAGGCACGATCATGTTCATGTAAAATGCAGTTTATCAACTAAATTATCCCATGTTAAGATACTCTTTTTAGAATTGATGTAAACATATTTAAGATTTTTTACTACGGTACTTACATTGGACAACATAAAACATTCATAGACCATTTTTTGAGTACCGCTTGCATTTGCTCCATATTAACAACAAAAATTCAAAATCGTTTTTATTGTTAACAGAAGAGATGGGTTTGGTATCTGTATGTTTGTTTACATGGTTAATGTCCTCGCAAAAGTTAACGTCACGTGAAAATGGTATGAGGGTAAAATGTCTGATGGATTACTTTGAAATCACTCATTTTCGTGGGGCTTTAAATGGGTAATATTCATCCACGGATTCATAAGTCCACGAAGTAATTAGAACTTTGATATAAAGCAATTCTCCTGTTGGTGGGGTATCGTAATCCACTAATCCTTGTACTAACGAAATGATGTTATATCGGTTAACCACGAAATTTTAGCCTGAAGAAAGTATATATCTGATTCCACAGTAAACAAACATAGCGTTATGAAAAGCTTATTCAGGCATATATCGGTAACGAGTTTTTTTTAAAAAATGGCACCCTTCACCAACATGTCTTTGTAAACAGAACGTCAGTGGATCTGAATGTGTACAGTCAGCTTCCAGGCGCCTTTCCTACATACATCTGGTTCTGAACACTTTTTGCAAGGATTTTCGTTCCTTTGAATGTTAATATCAATGATGAGAATTAAATAGCAAAATGGCCTTATAGTGTAATGAGAGAAAGTTGATTGTGTTTGGCTTGCTGCATCGGCTAAGTAAATGTTTGTGCTTTGTTATTTCTTCGTTGTTGTAGTGATTTGCTTTAGATTCAAACAAGACAGTCAAAACCTACCTTCCTGGAGTTCTCCGTGCAACTGTTCAGCCACGCCCCCAGGGTATATGGCCGTGACGTAAGCTCCCACCTCATTATTCCATGGCACTGTCTTGCCGCCAACAATCTTCATCCCTATCCCATTACCTGCTTCAACGTAACATGAACTGTATTATACATAAAGCAAGCAAGACAACATGAAGATATTGACAGTGGTTAAGGTAAAGAGGGTTTAGTGAACGATTCAAGAGAACCAGATTTTCGGACTTAATTTTTAACTTGATTTTGAAGAGTATATTTTAAAGAAAATTTCTTGATTAAAGAAACTGACAAGAATCTGTAGATGTTTTGCGAGGGACTTCAGTGTTAAGTAACTTCTTTAGAAAAACTTAATACAGCCGATTAGTGGGTCTGTTGTGTTTACACTTCAACAGTCTTTACAGTACACTTCACGTTGAGAGATTACTCAGCAACCAGTGGCTCATAATGCATGAGCAATTCCGCACAACTAGGTGATTCTGTACATTTGATATACACACATATATAGGATGAAGACACAGTACAATGTTCAAATGTTATAAGATGGTTTGGCTCATACCGTGTATATACATATAAGGATTTGAATGTTAGAACATACCTTGCATATGTTCGTATTAAAAAGTAAGTATGCCTCATGTTTGTTTCTCTTATCAAGATGAGTAATTGATTTCATACAATGTATTAATTCTGAGGGGAGTGAAGGCGTCGTCGTACGAGGCTATTAAACTCTTGCACAAATATCTCTACATTTCACTTGTATGGCTTGTGACAATTTCAACAACCCGTTTTTGAGAAGTCTAGCTTGAGTCCAGTAAACGCATCAATAAATCCGAGATGTTTACCATTTTTTGTAAGCAGAGGCGTGTGTCCCAATAATTAATTGTTTTTTTCAACTGTATGTACATCTGTACATTGCTAACTCAGCAATAATTAACGAGGGCTATTATTGTTTTTCTTGGCTTTGTACATTCTATGTACTATTCGAGTGTACATACGTTTCCAAGTAATAGTTCTCTGACATTTACCCAAAAATACCAACTGCTGTCGATCAAGATAAAATAGTGGTCTCGAAAGGTTTCTACTTACAAAGAGAGTTGTGAGTAACAGTAAATCACGTAGTTTAGTCGAATTTCGCAGACCGTTATCATCAACATAACACCAGTAACTATTTTTCTCACTTGAAACTGGAACACTGACGAAAGGTCTTAGACAGAATCCATAAAAGATACGATGCGAGCAGAACGACTTTTTTGTTGAACAATTAGCATCGATAATGGCTATTGAGGTTGTGATAGAGCCTTCATGTACTTAGGTGGTTAAACCGTGTCCTGTATTTACGTGCACTATTAACTTTGAACAATCTGTAACAGAAGCAATTTTCTGTAAGGAAATATTTGTTTTTTTTGTTATTCCATCTATCAAACGTAAGCGATCGAAGGGACAAAATGGTATAATGAGCTGCCAAACGCAGTTGACATGGCAACAATCGATGTTAACACGCCCGTGCTGCCTCACGTCCCAAACAAACACTTTCCACGAAAGCCAAGATGTGGATTAGGCTGTTAAATATACCTTATCTGGCAGTAGGCTTCCCTTAGAAGCAATATAACAACATATAGTTGGTAAATTATATAATCGCTGCTAGATACAAGTGTTATGTTCTTCAAATGTATTACTGTTCAGGCAATGTAGCTTGGTTTGCAAGAGCGACAAAGCATATACTCAATACCATACACAGAACGACATACAGAGAGAGTCCTATCACATCCATCCATCCTGCTATCGTTCACGCCAGACAATATTTCTATCCTGGACAGTACGATAACGAAACAAAAAGAAACATTTCAGCATATCATTCTCACCTCACATGTTTGTCATTATTTCAATTCACACACTCGTCAAACTTTCTGTTGACTTCAATAATCGAAACGCAAGTGAGAAAAACTTTAAAATTACAAAACAATTAAAATGTCAATCATTTTCCAACACTAAATATAAAGATACAAATATCTATCACTTGAGCAACTAACATAACACGTGTAGTCTAATAACTGATACAGTATATATACACAATATTTCTCTCAACGGAAAATGATGTTACCGTTTTGGAATGTGAACCTACCTTTGATGGATCTGTCTTTTGGATCTCGGGTAAGCAAGATCCGCTTGGTAGGGAAATCATATTTCTTTGGCTGCGAAGGTTTCAACTGAATCAAAACAATAAGTTTATTTTTTTACTTTTTCGGGTTTGTAAGTAGGGATAGAATATAGAGTGTCATACAGTACAACCAGTTAAATGTTTTTGTGTGATGTTTCGATTATTAGTACAATATGAATATTTTTCTGATGAAAGTGTCAGAGAACATATCGTACCAGTCATCAAAACGTCACACAAAAGCGTTTAACTGGTTGTGCTAAATTAATTCTTTTAATATAAAACAAGTATGTAAAAGATGGTAGACCTATGGAAATGATAGCCGTGATATTACAAACACATCACATCTTGTTCCCTAATATTAATAACCATACACTAAAAGTTTTGTTCTAGTCGATAATTATGTATATTTAAAACAGAAAGAATAACATTGGTCAAAAGGTCAAATGTGTTTAATTCTATATATTAAGTCTTTTATAGTTATTCGGAACCCACCGGTTTCTTCCTCTCAAGTTGTTTAAGTATTGTGACCCCTCCCTCCATCATGTGCTTCATGATTGGTTCGTCAGCATCCACACTGTTGTCACTTTCTGCTCGGTAGATGGCGTTCATCAGATCTACAACATATGATATCATATCATTTTCTCTAAATAATAAATCTCTTTTTGTATTTATTCTTATAGTAAATTAAAAATTTTACTCGTTTGTTTTCACACTTGAATTTAATTTAACTTCATGTTATTCCAAACTTTAGCTTACTGAATGTTTACTTTCAAGACCAAATAAAACGGACTCACCATCTACGCCTCCAGTAAAGTTGAACTCAGCAGAAACAGGTCTACTTCCGGAACCAATGTCGTGAATTATCTTACGTGACCTGGCTTTGACATCATCGAGCAAAGGCATTGCGGGAGTGGCATCACTTGGGGGACTTGCTTCGGTGTCAGAACATGTATTCTTTTTCTGATACTCAATGTCGACTGTCCGGGCAGAATGGAGCTCTGGTAACGTGACACTGCTTGACATAACGGGGTCCCTGATGGGGTCAGACTTCCGGAAGAAGTCAGACGGTTGGGCCGTAGGTTTAAACGCATGGGGATCATCAATATTACCACTATAAAGAAAAGGACTAGAATACGCAGAATGCATTTCTTCTACTCGACTTCTACGCGAGGTTTCTTGTTTATGTGCTAAGTATTCGGTTGAACTATAGTTTGCCTGCTGCTGGAAGTTATCCCATGATCCTTTATCATCATCTAGACGTCTGCTTAGGTAGTCGAACTCACTTTCCTCGTCGTCTTCTAAAGGTTTAATTATGCCGGTTGGGATAGGTCGGGCTGCAGGATAGCTGTAATTTGCCGTTCGTGGCAGATCATCATAGCTATGGGCCATAGCATGACCGGAAGTACGTGTCAGGTTTAGTAACTCTGCTTGAAGTCTGGATGTTTCTTCGAGTTGCTTCTTCCTTTTCTCAATTTCATTTTGCAATTCTTGTTTTCTATCTTCGCGTACTTTAATTTCCTCTTCGACTCCAAAACACGAAGGAGAACGAGTGGCCTTTTTCACTTTTTGCGGTATGTGTGATTCGGATCGACTTTTTGATTTTGTTCCAGGTAATGTAGATTGTTCCACTTCTGGTCCCTTCGATTCATCGTAGGAGGCATTAAAAAACATTTTTGCATAAGCTGAAGGTTTTATTTTCTTGTTACGTGCATTTGAAACAGGTTCAGATCGTATACTTTCATTGTCACTCAAACCCGATTGAGAGCTATCGTCCGTTATATATTTCATATGTGTCTGCTCTGCAGAAGCCGACTTTCCCTTAGATTGAAAATCAGATTCAACGTCTTTATCCTCCTTAATAGGCGAAAACTTAGATATCATTGGATCCGACGTCTGGCGCTTGTGTCGTGAACGCCTTGGTAACACCTGAGGTGAAGAACGCGCGGACTGTAAAGGTGAAGTACCGCGCTTCTTGCCGTTTTGTCCAAGACTAGTTTTATTAGGTCTTTGCTGCATAGATCGTTTTAATTGGGATTTGGCATAGTCTGAACTGAGTTTAAGTTCTCCTATTTGCAGTTGAAGAGCCCGTATTTCTTCAAACTCCTCAATTCTTCTTCGTCGTCCTTCAGTTGCCTTCCGGAGCTCGTCCTGTAGTCTTCTTTTGAGCGATTTCATAGCTTGTGTTATTGGCACACCGTATATGTTGATCATGGAATCAATCATTTCATCAGTTTCTTCCCTGTCCTTACTTCTTTGGTCATTCCGTTCAGATATGCCAATCGCTCCCATCAGTATATTTTTATCTAGAGGTATATTTGCTTTCACTGCCTTCATTGGCTTGTCCTTGGAGGAATCCCCAGCAGGTATGTAGTTTCCATTTCGCTTATCCATTGATGCTGGCTTATCCAGATCATTCATCCTCGTATGGCTTTTATGGTGATGATTTGTCCACATCGCAACCTCAAAATCATCCTCATTCATAGATTCGTCGCTTGTAGAGGAAGGTGTACCATACCCGGTACGCTTCCGGCGGTTTTCAGATCTAACGTGAGTGTGATGTTTTCGGGAAGATGAAGTTTGACTCTTTTGTTTAGAACTGCTTGAAGATTCGTCACCAGTAGGAATCGGAGGTAATTTTCTTCTCGTCTTCTTTGATTCTTGAGACACCTATAAACAATAAGAATGTGTTATAAAGACAACAATACATACAAATTCTACTCCACGCCGCCTATTGGGAATAGCTGCCTGATGTACATACAACACGTTACACCATATACAATATATGATCCGTAACTAGGCAATGGCTTGTCTGAGTATATGATCATATGTCTCTATTGCTCGAGGTTGATCATTATACGTAAACGTTGGGCATTGCTATTTGAAGATGTATCGAATGACGTTGGTTGCAATTATATAAACTCACATGTCAGAAACCCTGTCTATCTGCGTGTTCGGTTAAAGGTGTTAATATGAAAATTGAGAGATAAATGCTGTATATAGATTTTATGGTTGAAAAACACATATACGGAGTGGTGATGCGGTGAAACACATCCTTTTCGTCTGATAATTTCAATAAATATGATAAAGCAAACAGTTTATTCTTAATTATCCTTTTTCAAATAATATAAATAATCTTTTTTTTATACTTGATTGAATAATTACAGAACTCTTTTAGAAAAATATATTTGTCTTTATCACCTTTGTGATAAGATACACAAATACATATCATTCTAGAGGCAAAACATTTTGAGTAAGAAATTACACCAAAAGTCGTACGTTTATTTTTGAAGACAAAAAATTCCTATGTCTATAATGTGTTGCAAGACTGTTAATAACCATAAAATTGCAAAGTATCCAAACTCAATGCATTAAAGTGCCTGAATACTTACAATAGTATTGACATAAATGTACGAACAGACGTCAATGTCTATGGATTGAGCAGCTATCAAATGACAAATATATGTTAGTAATTATTTAAAAAATGATTACTTGAATTTTTGTTAAATGGTTTGCATCGACAGAATGGTTTAATTCATTTTTAATAAACGTAAAACAAACTATAGACATTCGAACAGTTGATTAATACGAATGTCAGTTTCAGGCAAACACTATAGTATCTTAATTTATTCTGATCTACACTTGATCCTGGGGTACACCCCGTTCCTACAACCGAGGTAAAGCTCTGCCAAAGCTTGAGACACCAAGACGACTGAACCCTATTGCAGGTATAATTTATAGGGCTATAATTTAGTTTTAACTTCCCAGTTGAATCAAGCCATTACAGAATAAACAATTCAAATTACAAAAAAAACTCAACATATAAAAGAGACGATACAAACATGATGTAAATTCAGCAGTAAATGTTTGTAAGAGGGAACCATTTTACCTGCTCGAATTTCTTGATTTTGTCCTTGACCTTGGTCTCGGCCAAAGATTTCTCCTCAAAGGTCTTATTGAGGTGTGGCAAGCGTTTAGATGGAGTGGGTTTTTCGTAAGTGCTATCCTCATCAAAGTCTGTACCCGGTGAGGAGGGAGAATGAGGCTTGGGTGGGGAGGAGTCAGAGTCGGGAGGGGTGACAGGTGACGGGAAGGGATACACCTCCCGATCAGGGGAGGAGGAGGGAGACACAGATGTACTGTCAGAATAGTCCCTCTTCAGTGAGGAGCGGGACTCCGGACTCGGAGGTGAGTCCAGGACCTTATACTGGGGAGACATGCTCTGGTCCTCCGACTCGATGTGTCGTATGACTAGTGGATTTGGTTTCGCTTTCATGTCTTTGGCCTTTTTCCTCTTATCATCCGATTCAACACCCTTTGCCAAATCTTGCACCATATTCATATTGCTGTTATTATTATTATTGTTGTTGTTATTATTCGTGTCGCTATTTCTACCATCCGGTCGTTGAGGAACATCACCCGAATGGGGTACCATTTTCACAAATGATCCAGAAGAGCAAGAAGCACCAACCGACGATTGTGCACTTTGGTGGTATTTGCCTGATGATTTCGAGTGCTTTTTCGTATGTGCAGCTATCATTTCTGCGGTAGGTTCTGGTAACTTTCTCCGCGGTCGTATAGCAGGCTTAGGAGGTTTTTCTTTGGGTTCACTTTGTTTTGTAGTTGACAAAGAGGAAGCAGAACAGGAAGCACCCTTTTCGGGTTGTTCTAACGAATTAACCCTACTCTGAATTAAACTTACTTTTGGTTGATTATTAGATGTAATTGTTTGCACTTCTGAACTACATGGTTGACTTTTCAATATTACGTCCTTAGTCACCGACTTTGAGGCTAGCGTTGTACATGTAAAAGGATGACCTGCCATGTCATTAACCAAACCACTATCATCCAACGCCATGCAAGCTGCCTCCGAAGAACTCGCAAGACCATCACTAACGTTCGGGCCATTGCTTTGTAAAAGTTGACATATATTTTCTACCCTATCATACCTCTTAAGACCATAATAAGAATTTTGTTCGTCATCTTCTTCGAGAGGCTGAAAATAACTATCATAATCTTCGTCATCGTCCTCATCTTCCTCCTGTGACTCTCTCCTCCGTCGTTCTTCCTCCTGCTTTTCGAACATGTCGACACGTTCTGCTTCTTCGATTGACGGCGATACGTCTAAAATAGGAGACAAGTCAATCACTGGAGACCAGTCGGTTGAGGGAGGCCGCACCTTTTGGCGCTTTGAACCCTGATAATCTATTGCTTTTGAAGATGGATCTGCTAGTTCAACCTCGTCCATATCATCGGATCCATTTTCATAATAACTTGGTGAAATCGGCGACGCGCTTTCAGTGCTTTCAGTATCCTGCGAATCTGGGGAAATCTGGTCATGTTCATGCACGGGTAAAACTTGTAGGTTAGTGGGTGACACGGTCATTTGTGTGAGATTAGCAGTGTTACTCGCAATTGTAGCAGCGTATGTAGCGAGGTCAATAGCTACAGCAGTATCGGGGAGATCTATATGACTAGTGTCGAGTTCATGAAGATTATGACACGGTTTACTTTCGGGCATTTTAAGAAGGAAAGGTTCACCCATTGTTGTTATCATATCATCAACAAGTTCCTCTGGCGATATCGGAGAAGGTTTTTGAACTAATGGCATGACAGCGTAGCCTGCTTCGCCGAGTGCATGTGCCTCAGCGTACAACTCTTCAACCGATAGCTGGCGGACTGGGGGTGACACGTCGTACGTAAATTGCAAGCGACTGTCTTTTGGAGACACCGGAGACGAGGGGCGCTTTTTACCAGGATACAAATCCTTACGTTTTGGCGAAAATGGTGGACTCTCTAAACCTGCCCTCCAACTCGGACTTCTCGGGGGCGATGGACTCATATGCGACTTTAAATCGTCTTGCACATCGGAATCATATTTGTCCATAACTTCATCCATAGAAGACTCTCCTTTGAAGTCTTCCATTTCCTCTGCGAATGCACTAGCAGCTAATGCGACTCTTGCCTCGTTCATGACGGCCAGAGGAGCTAATCGGTTTTCAGTGTCTGTACTTATGGTGCTATCCGTGGTCTCGTCATCCGATGACGTGGCGCTGTGAGAACGCGGGATGTTGAGAGACCGCGGGCGATGTTTCCTGCGAAGTCTACCACTGTCATCACTACTTCCGATGCTCATCATCGAATAATCATCACTTACATCGTCCGTACTCATCCCATCGCCTTGGTAATAGTGCATAGAGACATCTTCCATATCCACATCAGACGCAGAGGTTTCCGAATCACTCCTGGCACCTTGGCCCATCGCTGAAACGACACAAAAATGTTGTCATCATAAAAGCGACAAAATGTCATGTTAAGTTTTATTTGGTAAATTAATAATATCCTATAAATTAATGTATTTAACATTTCTATGCAAGTTATTTACGGAATTAAGATTGATTTATCAAAAATTTCAATAAAATGGTTGGTGATTGTTTCTAACTATTAAATGCAAAATTTGGAAACCATAATTGAAACTATATTTGAGTATTTACTGTAAAACACTTGTTTTATTCTTTCAACAGTTTATACGACATTATTTGAATTCGCGACATTAACAGCAACAGATAAATATTCCTTGTTTGAAAATCTGATTAAATGTCCGCGAGATGTTTGAATTCGCGGTTGGTGGTCCTCTTGAATCAACGCAAGAGTAACCACCTCGCCATATCTAGGTAACGTAAAGTATCTTGATGTCGATTTTATTTCCAGAATAATACACAAACCGATTGTAACGAATCCGACGTACACTCATTTCAATTAACTGAGTTCTCCTTTTCACTATATTACAAAAAAACGCTAGTAAGAAATCTGTTGAATACATAACTGTTAAAATTATGGAGAGGAAATCAATCCTGGGAAATGACAACGTAGACTGGTTCTTACAAAAAAAAATCCAAGAAATGAGATTATATAACAATTCTTGGTAGACCAAGAATATCACTCAAATCGTTATTCCTTGGATATAAGTAGAGTTTGCGTTGTTAGTACAATTTATCTGCCTAGAAGAATGTTAGTATATAGCAACATGAATGTATCTTCATAGCATAGCAACATAATTTCACCGGCAAGAATACAACAAGTACAGATATAACAGAATGTTATCCTAATATGTTAAACTAAATCATATACTAGAGTTAATTTGGTTATTATATATCTTAAATTACTGCTATTACTATGTATCAACACAAATTGTTCTAACAATGATATAACTAGAATTGATATATCCAGAATATAACTAGAATACTTGTAATTAAAATACCACCGGAATATGACTAGTCTATATGCAGTTCGAATACCAGTGGAATTAACATAATTAGACTAGAATATTACTATAGATGTATTTTTATCATCAAAAAATAATAAGAATTAGATAATAAGAATATATTAAAATAGAACATAACTACAAACATAACAGGATAACAAAAACTTAAGATTATGCCATGTTTTGGTTCTTTTGGGCAAGGAACAGTGTTCTAATTGCTTAAGTGACATTCTCTAATACAATAGACCTTCGAGAATCTCCCTATCTCCAACGTACAACTAAATAGTAAAACCTACAAACCTACATACATACGAACATACAAACGAAATAAAATGTTCTGACAAACAAACTACATTCTCATTACTGCTGTGTGATATATAAAACAAAATGTTATTGTTTTAAAAAAAATCATTGCATTCCCGGATAATTTGTTGACATTTTCTTATTTCTTACTAATATTAAAATAAAAGGATTAATCTAAGTATAAATAAGAAAAGCAGTAATGTTGTTTGATAATGTTATAATTATTCTAAAACTTTGTGTTAAAATGACACAATATAATTAAATTACTTCATTGATGTTTAAATTTAAAAGATAATCTACGAAAACAAAATTCGAATAAGAAGAAAAAATACATGTGTTACCTCAAATCTGTTTTCTGTCGTTTCAAACAGACAGGTTGCTATCAACAGGATTGATCTGTTTAACGTGTATGTTATTCTTCTGTTTAAGTGAGAAAACTCATTAAAGATATCTCTTAATGCAAAGACCAGGATGCATTGTTCCCGTTAAACAAAGACTGGTTCAACATTTTAGATATTCCCGGAGCCTCCTAATGCTCTTGGCAGTAAAACAAATTGAATAAACCAGACATTCTCGCTTAAAAGTATCGTGCTCGCATTAAGATAACAGAGTGGTTACTAAAACAGTACGTACATTTGATCTGGTAGGTCTTCCTTTTACATTTTTGAGGTAAACACAAGGTCCAAAGAACCTGTACTGTTCACCCGTTTCTGACAAGACATAAGTACATCATTTGACCCAAAGTTTAAAAAAAAAGCCATCAAACATTAAATTTGAATATTTACTATAATATAATACCCTGAAGTTTAGAAAAAAATGTTCTAAACCCAACACATATTCCATTAAGTATTAATTACTTGGGGTCTAGCTTTTTGAATACTAAAAAGAAAGCTGCATGGATGAAAAATATACAAGATTTATGAAAAATTAATTTCTGAAAAAAGCAAGAGTATTCATTCTTGATATAAAAACGGGGATCCTCGCTAACACGTGAGCTGACATCTAAAAAATCTTGGATATGAAACGAACAAATCAGAGCTTCTAGTGAATGTCAAACAATTCAAAACATTACAATTTCCATGTACATTGGTGTGTTCCTTTATCCCAAAGGAAATCGGAGGTGTTCGATTGCCATCGCTTTCATCCGGTTACAACATGTATGTAGACTGGGTAGGTGGCGCTCGGTTAGCCGAGGACACTGGTAACTATACGACTAAAGCCAGACATAAGCGTGTAGGGCAGGTTTCAAACTTGCGTGCAAATAATGCCAAGCTCAGCGATAAAAGAAAGTTAAAAGAGAACCTGCACAGACTCATCAAATGATGGTCAAGAGATAAGAGAATCTGATACACTTTGGCTTAATGGTCTATTCGAAAGTGTTCCAAACCTTAAAATCAAAAAATGTCTGTTCAGATTCATAAAATATAGTTTTTTAGGGAAAGGCAGCCGCCACTGTTTATGAACAGCTTATTTCTTTTCATAAAAAAATATAAATTTTGATTATCTTTCGTAAAAGTTCGTATACATTCAAAAGGGTAGTATCATAGCTCAGTAACTTATCGGTATTTGTATAAATATCATGTTTTTAGGCAAACAATATCAATTAATATCGCTACATTTTTATACCTATGTCAATCTGATATTAGACAAATCTCTTTCTACATACATATGTGACATGATACTTATTTCATAAAGGATTTTCAAATGACATTTTTGCACTTTATGATAATCGATTTGATCCATAATTGTTGCATTGTTGCATAACTGTTTTTATTCATTAGATTTTTTTCTTGGATAAAGGGATAAATATTATAATTATAACCACGCTGAAAAATGTTTAAACATAATTAGATTGCGCAAGCGATATATAATATTGATGACGTTGATAATCTCAGGGGACAAGGAGGTAATTAAAGAATCAAGGACGATAAAAGAAGAAGTCATTTGATGAGGCCAGATGAAAGCGATCCTCTTTACACCTTTTGTAATTACTCCGCGTGCGTAGCAGCTTTTCCACGAGAATCTCTAGGAAGGGCAGGGGTAGCATGTTACAATGTTTTAGTTAAATGTACAATTCCAAATACTACCTGGAGTATTTGCGGACCTGAAATATATATATACATATTATAAATATATTTACTAAAAAGTTGCATGCAAAAATAAGTCAATAAAATGTTTAAAACAAAATGGAGGAAGTGTGCGGGAGCACGGAGTATAAGTAGAGTAATCACCACAGCTGCCGACCATAGTCCTGAGGACCCCTGTAACAAAACGACATATGGTCAGCAATACTGCAAACACGATATTGTCTTTTATCGATGATGAATTTCCATGACATCTGATTATCTGTCTGGGCTATGATGTTGTTTTAAGTGGATGGAAACGCAAGATGAGACCAGTATGGATTGAAAAATCATTTGCAAAAGGACTATTTCTTACATTAACTTTTCGGATGAGACAGAAAGTATTTGTATATGAAAGTGACTAATTACTATGCAATGTATACCGCTTTCATTTCATCGTCACAATATAAACCAACCAGATATAAATCTTTAGATGTCAATTGCTGCGTAATGATTGTTTTAACGTCATCATTAAAACGTTAATACAACTTACAGACAGACGTGCTTTTTATTAAAAACAATCGATAAAGATATTTTACATTTCGTTTTTTTCCTCTTTTATCTGTCTAAGTATTGTTTTTAAAAACTATTTTAGTGGTTAAATTAACGATGTGTTAATATGTATTAAACTGTTTGCAGATGGTGAAAATAACCAATACAGATTCCATTTAATAACAGAGATATCAAACAGGAAAAAACAACATTTCATGCATTTTTTGTCCTGTAAAGAAGTATTTTCAACAAATGCCTCCAGTCAGTAGCATATTGCATCAACAATAATTGTTGCAGAAATTTACTATTAAAATATCTTTACCATTCCCATATTAACCATGAACTCAAACAAAAAATGAATACAATATAAAATATAAATTTCTATTTTATATATATGAATTAAAATGTTTAAAGGCATAAGTTGCTTCAAAATGGCAGTATAGTGTCAATTCTATTGGACAATGACCCATAACATAACACGTGTAACCAAGGATGATGATAAATCGAAAACGTGGACGTTTTATCTATTAGTATATTATTTAGCCAAAAGCAACTGATGATGAAGCGGTTTCTAAATATACTGTTGGCGTACATCTTGGTATACTTAGTATGTAGCACTATAAATCGGTATGAAACCCTTTGATATACAAACCCTGCTCAACAGTATTAAAAGTTCTTTAATCGGAAAGATTATAATTAGTTTTTCTCTTTAACTTTTTGCAGAACCAATTCATACAATATTTTCCAAGCTTGTTATCAAATATATATGTTTGCAAAATTGATAAAATTAGTATTTTCTTTTAAATAAAGGACGTTAAATTTCTTAAACTCAATCTTTTAACTCAGAAATGCGATTTGAGTTATCCCTACCCATTTACTCATTTTTAGCAGATTTAATGCTTGATATAAAAAGTTTATCTAATTAATCAAAAGAACAAGTGTTTCTCATTCTAAAACAGACACAACAAATGTGGAGTCAGTGTGCTTCTTATTTTGTCCCATTATTATTTAACTATTTTGCGCTTTTTATTTGCAACAGGCATTTAGTTTTTGACACATTTTCCAGATGTGTCCTTTGTTTTAGAATTGATCATGACCTGTTAACTACTGCAAATGCCCAGTACCTTTTGATTTGCAGGGAAAGAGGTGATTATTCAGTAACAAACTATATAAAAGTATTTAATTTTGCATCTACATTCTGGGTACCTCTTGATTTATGAATCACGTATACATTATTTAGATATACAATCGGGGTACCTCTTAATTTACATTTTATGAATAAATTATTTAGATAGAAATACAGGCGGAGTACCTCTTGATTTATAGATAATGATAATTTGTTAAGAAATAACTACAGTCGGAGTTTATCCCTTCGTGACATCATGCAAGTCAGCGTTGTGTATGCGTCAATTCAGCATGCTTACTTAATAAATGTATCAATGATTAAAATCGAAAAATAAATACGGCCATTGTGATAAACAACATCTCATTCGTTTCTAAAAAACAATATTGATAATAAAGAAGAACATGAATAATAGAAAATGCATAATATTATGAATAATATACATTACAAACATACCAACCAGAAGGCTAATTGTTTCCCGAGACTATGTGTATCACCCAAATGCTTTGTTTAAAAGTACGTACAAAAGAGAAGAACGTTGAGGCAACATTGACCTAGAAAGCTACTGTTTCTTTGGTGACGAGTCACGCCTAGGGAATTTATTTTTTTGACGATAAAAATAGATTGCGTAACAAATAACTGACGATAAAAAATACAAATCGATCCTTTAGATATGATCACATTCATTGACATTTGATTCATCAAAACGACACGTGACATATCCTCTAGAAACTGATGAGCCAGTCTGTTGGAGGGATGTTAAGATTTACTCACTCTAGTTTGCTTTACAATAATAATAAGTAGTCCTTAAATATGCAATTTCGAATCCTGATTTATCAATAAACATTCGTGATTTAATAGAGGATTTTTTTTATAATTTCCCAACGCGTCAGGAATGGTTTATTTCTGAAATTTAAATTTGAAATATATTTCATGTTCCTCTCTACGATATTGGTTGTGCTATAAAACTTTGTCTTGATTAGAACCGTCCTTTTTATTGTGATTAAAGGATTCATAGTTCTTAATTAACTCGAAGTCGTGCTTGTAATGATCTACCCCTTACCGCTACGCTGTGGCATTGCAATGGACGATTATTGTGTGGTACGCAACCGCACAAAAGAACCACGACAGCCATTGATGGCATTTCAAACAGCACGCTCCAATTAAAAGTTAGGAGTTTTATTACGAACACATGATTCAACACACAAATTATCATTCCCCATAATCATTATATAACAGTTTTCAAGCTGACGAATCGCGTTCATCGACAAATCAAGAAATGAAACACGTTTCTTTCCTTTCTTTCTTTCGTTAACAGCTAGAGAAGAAACGCTATCCCCTGATATAAAAACAACGCACTGACTTTCTCATGCGATCTGTATTTGTATTCTGTTAAGTCATATTTCCTTCTATGAATCAACGCTTATTTAAAGTCAATGTTAACAATAGCAATTACGAAATCTCAATCGCCTAGTTTCAGGAAATTTCGCAGTCTGTGTTGTTCACCTAATCTTATAGAATCTCCTTAGACAACTTTGAAATCCCAGCTTTCAAAATCATGCAATGCTTTTTGGCCTCAGTGGGTTCCATCGCATGGAAAATGTGTAACAAATAAATCAAGACGCAATACCGTCCGTGTACAAGCCCTAATATCCTATCTGAATTTGCTCTTTTCTTGTTTTTATTGTATATAGCCCATGCCTCTTGATTGGTGAGAAACATAACTTGGTCAGTACATTGATATTAGCCTGTGTTTCAGTTTGCAATTTAATTCTCTTTTCGATTTTCCGCCGTGGTAATCAATGTCTTGCATCGAAACTTTGTGAGCTTCAATTAGCCCAATGCTCCGTCTTACCTTTGATGTTTATAACACCTTGTATTTTCATATATATACACAATTACACTGAAAATCTACCTTGTTTGGTATCATTGGGCATGTGGTAGCTAGTAAATGTTAGAACTGGCACTCACAGCATTGATATACAAGCACGGCCAAACATGGACGATTGATTTTACCACAGTTCGGCACAGATTGACACTCCTAACTCGCCGTATACCAGTCTCATCAATTTCAAATTGGGTCTACAGGGACAAATCTTCGATTTTTTTGCATTCTATGTATTTTTCAATACAAGCTAGCTTTACGTGATACGGAAAGTGGAAGCGACTAGTACATTTTCATCACCACTTTAATCTTTGTAATCAGGGGGAGCCCTAGATCAACAAATAGCACAATAAAGAAAACCTTGAGAAGAAGCATCGGATACATTTCGGAGAAATATCAGTAAACCATTAATTAAAAATGCATGCTATATGCTGTTTGTTCATAGCGCCCGCGTGATACAATATATAATAAGAAAACTGTACTAAATTGAAATCATGATCATGATTTAGTTTTCATTATGGACAGTGGTACATCACATTTACCTCGGAGTCTCGATTGACCACCGGAACTAGATGGTCCATCTTCCGACACTGGGCTATCTATTAGGGATTCCCGGCTGCCTTCTGCGCTTTTCTGTGTGTCTTTGGGCGGTAGGCCGGGCCGGGGTGCCGGTACTGGTGGAACAACGGTGGTGGGTAAAGATGTTTGGTGTTGTAGCAGACATGCTGGTTTTTTCGGTATAGGTGGTTTTGTTCTCACTTGTTCGGTTTCTGAAGAAGATCTATCAAGCGAATGTTTACTACCTCTGTCAGGTGCACTTCGTCCATTTGGTTTATCCAATGCACTTCTCCCGTTTGCTTTTTCAGATGAATTTCTCCCGTTTCCTTTCTCTGCCTGGTTTTTCCCGTTTGACCTTTCAGTGTAATTCCGCCCATTTCCTTTATCTGTCGAAGGTTTACCACTGCTTCTTTCTGATAGTTGTTTTCCATTGCCTTTATCCTGAACAGAAACATAAATAGTTTTATTTATAGAATGAAGTTTTCTATGAACATTCAGCTACTACATAATTGTCATAGTCAAAGCACAATCTTACTCGAAAGTTTAACCATAAGGACATAACATTTTCAGGAAATTGCCTTAACAGAATCTTCCTTAAACAATCAGTCCGTGATCTTTCCGGAAACTTCTAATGAATAACTAATTTTAGTCTGCAAAAAAAAACACCCAAAAAAACAAGACTTTTCAAACATGATTATAGCTTTGATAAATCATATCTGAAAAGAAAACTATGTCTTGCAGGACTTTAATGAAAACATAATGAAGACAAAATACAAACTGTAATCATCAGCAGTGTTCTAATTGTAAAAAGATGGCGAGGCTGGACGAACCCTTGGACCTCCGATTGTTATACTGCCGCTCTGACCAACTCAGCTATCCGCTCAACAGAAGTGCACTCGGACCTCCGATTGTTATACTGTCGCTCTAACCAACTCAGCTATCCAGTCAAAAGAAGTGCCCTCGGACCTCCGATTGGTATACTGTCGCACTAACCAACTCAGCTATCCAGTCAACAGAAGTGCCCTCTAACCTCCGATTGTTATACTGTCGCTCTGACCAACTCAGCTATCCAGTCAACAGTAGTGCACTCGGACCTCCGATTGTTATACTGTCGCTCTGACCAACTCAGCTATCCAGTCAACAGTAGTGCCCTCGGACCTCCAATTGTTATACCGTCGCACTAACCAACTCAGCTATCCAGTCAAAAGAAGTGCCATCGGACCTCCGATTGTTATACTGTCACTCTAACCAACTCAGCTATCCGGTCAACAGAAGAGCCCTCGGGCCTCCGATTGTTATACTGCCGCTCTAACCAACTCAGCAATCCGGTCAACAGAAGTGCCCTCGGACCTCCGATTGCTATACTGCCGCTCTGACCAACTCAGCTATCCAGTCAACAGTAGTGCACTCGGACCTCCGATTGTTATACTGTCGCTCTGACCAACTCAGCTATCCAGTCAACAGAAGTGCCATCGGACCTCCGATTGTTATACTGTCACTCTAACCAACTCAGCTACCCGGTCAACAGACGTGCCCTCGGACCTCCGATTGTTATACTGCCGCTCTTACCAACTCTGCTATCCAGTCAACAGAAGTGCCCTCGGAGCTCCGATTGTTATACTGTCACTCTAAACCAACTCAGCTACCCGGTCAACAGAGGTGCCCTCGGACCTCCGATTGTTATACTGTCGCTCTAACCAACTCTGCTATTCAGTCATCAGAAGTGCCCTCGGACCTCCGATTGTTATACTGTCACTCTTAACAACTCAGCGATCCGGTCAACAGACGTGCCCTCGGACCTCCGATTGTTATACTGTCGCTCTAACAAACTCAGCTATCCGGTCAACAGAAGTGCCCTTGGACCTCCGATTGTTATACTGTCACTCTAATCAACTCAGCTATCCGGTCAACAGAAGTGCCCTCGGACCTCCGATTGTTATACTGTCGCTCTAACCAACTCAGCTATCCGGTCAACAGAAGTGCCCTCGGACCTCCGATTGTTATACTGTCGCTCTAACCAACTCAGCTATCCGGTCAACAGAAGTGCCCTCGGACCTCCGATTGTTATACTGTCGCTCTAACCAACTCAGCTATCCGGTCAACAGAAGTGCCCTCGGACCTCCGATTGTTATACTGTCGCTCTAACCAACTCAGCTATCCGGTCAACAGAAGTGCCCTCGGACCTCCGATTGTTATACTGTCGCTCTAACCAACTCAGCTATCCGGTCAACAGAAGTGCCCTCGGACCTCCGATTGTTATACTGTCGCTCTAACCAACTCAGCTATCCGGTCAACAGAAGTGCCCTCGGACCTCCGATTGTTATACTGTCGCTCTAACCAACTCAGCTATCCGGTCAACAGAAGTGCCCTCGGACCTCCGATTGTTATACTGTCGCTCTAACCAACTCAGCTATCCGGTCAACAGAAGTGCCCTCGGACCTCCGATTGTTATACTGTCGCTCTAACCAACTCAGCTATCCGGTCAACAGAAGTGCCCTCGGACCTCCGATTGTTATACTGTCGCTCTAACCAACTCAGCTATCCGGTCAACAGAAGTGCCCTCGGACCTCCGATTGTTATACTGTCGCTCTAACCAACTCAGCTATCCAGTCAACAGAAGTGCCCTCGGACCTCCGATTGTTATACTGTCGCTCTAACCAACTCAGCTATCCGGTCAACAGAAGTGCCCTCGGACCTCCGATTGTTATACTGTCGCTCTAACCAACTCAGCTATCCGGTCAACAGAAGTGCCCTCGGACCTCCGATTGTTATACTGTCGCTCTAACCAACTCAGCTATCCGGTCAACAGAAGTGCCCTCGGACCTCCGATTGTTATACTGTCGCTCTAACCAACTCAGCTATCCGGTCAACAGAAGTGCCCTCGGACCTCCGATTGTTATACTGTCGCTCTAACCAACTCAGCTATCCGGTCAACAGAAGTGCCCTCGGACCTCCGATTGTTATACTGTCGCTCTAACCAACTCAGCTATCCGGTCAACAGAAGTGCCCTCGGACCTCCGATTGTTATACTGTCGCTCTAACCAACTCAGCTATCCGGTCAACAGAAGTGCCCTCGGACCTCCGATTGTTATACTGTCGCTCTAACCAACTCAGCTATCCGGTCAACAGAAGTGCCCTCGGACCTCCGATTGTTATACTGTCGCTTTAAACAACTAAGCTATCCGGTCAACAGAAGTGCCATCGGACCTCCGATTGTTATACTGTCGCTCTAACAAACTCAGCTATCCAGTCAACAGAAGTACCCTCGGACCTCCGCTTGTTATACTGTCACTATAACAAACTCAGCTATCCAGTCAACAGAAGTGCCATCGAAACTCCGATTGTTATACTGACGCTCTAACCAACTCAGCAATCCGGTCAACAGAAGTGCCCTGGACCTCCGATTGTTATGCTGTCACTATAACCAACTCAGGTAGCCGGACAACAGAAGTTCCGTCGGACCTCCGATTGTTATACTGACGCTCTAACCAACTCAGGTATCCGGTCAACAGACGTGCCCTTGTCTAACTGTGTTACTATATTTCCAAGTCAAGGGAGATTACCGTGGATACAAACAGCAACAGTGGAACTCTCTTGTGTTTTGTCTGCAGTGAGGCAGAGATCCTTATGAGTCCACCTTTTAAATGACATAATTATTCTGCTCTTGTTTACTCACTTTCATTGTTTCCATCCGGGTCTCTATTTGTTTCGACAGTGGTACTTCCGCCGCTGGCTCGACTCCTGGATGCCACATGCCACTACTTAGCACCAACTTCCGACGCTTCTGGCAGGCCATGCACACCCATTCCTGTAGCTGAAACACAGTTGAAGATGCATAAAATGTCATCATAAGTATATACCGTGCTGTTATATCGCACGATTAATTTTACACCCATTAAATATTACTAATGGCTTTTAATGTATATATTTTACTGAAATGGGATTGGTGCAATGAGCACCACGTGATAATCAAAAACGTAATGCTGTCCTAGGAAATGATAATGACTGGATATTGTAATTCCACAACCAAATTAGGAACATTTTCTGGAAAGAGTTTTTTTTTTAGTGTACCTGGTCAACCAGATAACAATACAGTCTTTGTCAGGATCAATAAATAAAAATAATAAAAATCGAGAGGTGTTGCACTCACACTCTGGCTCGAGTTTGTACATCTTATTGTTTTTATAGTACGTATCTGTTATCAACCTTAGGAATGAAAATATCCCGCTACATGACGTCATAGGTTGATAGTATAAAGCGTCATCCTCATGTACCACTATGGGTTGAACTGTGTCGTTATACTAAGTTCACTTTGTCAAGCTAATGTATAGTTTTATCAACATTAGAAATACGAATATTGACCTCCGATTTGGTACGCAATTATCGAACTTTCCTTTTCGTGTTAATAATTTGCCGTGGTATTTTGAAAACAAAAAATATGCTAAATTATTTTTACGTTTTTCTTCTTGTATTTCGGTATGAGATTTGTTTTGTTATCTCGATTTCTCATTTTCAGATAATTTTAAATATAGCAAGTCGATACATTCCAGCAGCGTACAATGAAGATACGTACGATACATTACACTCAATGCTTAGAGGTCAAAATAAACTATTTAACATCATCAAAGGCGCCTTGTTGAGGCCCCTATTCTTTCTTTCTATGACGTACATTAATTTTGCATAGATGTTATTCCACGGGTTTCCGATACTCCATTTAACTACCGCCGTGCACGCAATGGAGATATCGAATTCATACGTTATTGCAGAAACCAGTGGTGTTAGTTTATGCCAAACTGAACATGTCACTGGATAGTCATTTGTTCTGAGGCAGATTAACTTCGCACAATTAACAATGCTATCTGATAATGGGTTGCAATTAAGTGTCAATTTTGCAATTGCCCACTTCTCTTCAAAACCCAATCAGAAGCTTAATTCTCAGGCGCAGTAACTTCATTGTAATTCTTTTGATTCAAACAAATGGCTATCGATTGATCAGCCGTTGCGTCCTTAACAGATTACGTTGGTATTTTTCTCCGTGCTAGAGATATCGGGATAGCGTACGCGCCGGGACGTGCTCGCTCAGGCTTTCGTTCCATCGATCCTGTAAATTACTGATTTGTAGCCCATGCTACCAATTGAATGTAGATATTTACAGAACTCTGTGTGTGTTTTAAGCAGTATACAATTATATAATGTGTTTTTCTGTTAAGGGTACTTTGTACAATGATCTCAAGTGTTTTTTCAATGATGTTAACATAATACCCGAAAGCATTAAAACATCCCGTTCCTACCTTTAATATGAGACTAGCATATTTTTTGTGGAGGGCATATTGGTATCACTGTTCCTAGTGCTGCCTGAGCTGACCACAATAGCATTAGTGCATGCTTCATAAATGTTATCAGTATACCTAATCTTTATATCAGGGTGTGACGGGGGAATAAAACATCACCTCGCCCTCACGCGCCCAAGTTTCCCCGATCTTTATTCCCTTATTCGGAGCATTTCTAGAAAAACTGCAAGAGCAACAACAACCTTGTTCCGAATGACGGAAGCAGACGACAACAATGGCGCGTCAACCTGATCATCTTTACTATTATGTTATGTTATGTCGGCATAATAAAGTAACAACAATAAAATCGCCATAGTGAAACTTGATCGAACTCGGTGAAACAACGAATCGTGTTTCCCTACAGTAAGGCCAATACATGAATAAGAAACAATACCAGACTAAACGCCATTAGCTGAAGTAAATATTGGTGTACATAACATTACGATAAAAGCTACTTTAAAGCTACCATAGATTTTACAATCAAAGCAGTCGTCCAATTATGTTATTACGATGTACAAGAAAAGTGTAAGTCTCATTTCCCATCCCTTTCCTGTTACAGGCTCATGAATTCGGTAAGATAAACTTGTATCGCGCTTTTAATTTTGTTTTTCCATCAGGACAATATGTCAATATAATATTCTCATTTGAAATAGGACACCGAAGTATCTGTACAATTTGACACCCTCCTCCGGAACAAATAGCATGGAGTATTGTCTGTTTCCTTTCTACATCACTTCACATAACGTGTGCTTAGTGTACGTGGTTCGGTAAATGTATTGGGCTCATGTTGTGTGATAACTTCTCACGTTTAGTTAATTTCAGAGTTTCAAACTTTCAATTCCACAATATAGCTGTTAGTGTGTTAATTACGATAGTAATCCGCCATACCTACCATTTCAAGGGATCAAACAGTCAAACTTGTCATCAACATTTCCGGCTTTGTAGAACGTATCGGCACGAAACAGACAATGTTTTGGTATACAGCTGAAACCTCCCCTACTTAGCAATAGCCGACATGTATAGGCCCTACAGATACCAAAACAGAAGATTACACACACATGGATCAAAGCCGCTATTCTAAGTATCGATCTGAACCTGTGAACGGCCGAGAAGTGACGTATTAAATAGGTAAGGCATGTGTGGCAGGTGTGTGGTATTTATGATGGCAGGGACATCAAATCAAGAACAAGCTTCATGTTTAAAGTATCCTCGTCCATTTACGCAACTTCGTGTTTCTGAGATTAAAGAAACTATTTTCATCCAGACGAAAGTCATTCATTTCCTTCTTTTAAAAAAATCTGATCGATTAAAAAAAAGTATACAGGAAAAAAATTCGATATTGCATCCGTTAAGTATGCACACCGATAAGTGAATTAAACACGTGTACAATCGCAAAGGCTCGCTGATCAATGTTCTCCTAAATTAAGCAAACATCTATCAAACGTATCGGGTTCAACTTCGGACGATGAAGATCAATTTTCTATGTCATTACACGCTTTCTACCTATTGATTTTTAATGCAAATCGAATTACTTTTAACTACAATTAAATGTTACACTAGTATGTGTGATCAAGAGAAGAGACTGGGATCGGACGAATGTCACGCGACAGTTTATACTTGTTCTGGATGCTAATGTGCTATGTCACTTAGTCCAAGATACTCAAAGGCGGATTGTATCGTACCTACGCACGGTAAACGGTAACGCATGTAAACACGTTTACGTACGAAAAACACCCTCTCTTTAAAGTGAGGGATAACTACTTTAAAACATCAGGAGCGACATTTTGATCGCGTGTGTTATATAAAGAGTCAATGAAAACCATTCGATGTGAATGCTACATCTAAAGTCCGAAGATTATCACTGGGTTTGAATATTAACAATTGTTTGAAGTGCAGGTTTACTCACGGCGTGTAAGCGTTACTGTGTGTGGTATATTAAAAATCCAGATAGTAAACGTTATCTTTTGTGGTATACGGCGATTAGTAGTTAACATTTGTTTGGAACAGTTTGAACATTTGTTCTATTGTTGCAAGTGAACAAAATCATCCGCGGAACGTAGACAATAATGAATAAGAAACACTTTATTAAAATTATTGAAATTAATTCACTGCATGTGCAGTTTCTTTATGTAAAAAGGTCAGCTAAGGGACATTGATAATGCCTCCATATGTAGAGATGTTAAGCCATTTACATGTACGTAAGTCGTGACAACACCTGTATACTATAATACAAAGGTAACCACTTAGCGCAAATATTGTGAAAATGCGCAGTGTAAAAGGATTATAAGATAAGTTTTTGCTTAGCCAATCACGTATGACGTCGCTTTTCGTGACGTTATTGGTGATTTCATGATCCTGGGGCCAGGTGTAACGGAAAGGTAAACGTCTACGACATGGGACGTAAAATCGATGTCAACTCAGAGCAATGACACGTCATCAAAGTGAGAACTGGGGTAATGACAACCCACAAATCATGCTTATGCACATAAACAACATTATATTTGAATCTATTTATTGTTGAAAGGTATAAACTACAATTGGTCATACCAAAGAGATGTTTCACGTTTAATGTCAATGCAAACCTGATACTTCAGTTAACATCCACTGACAACGCCAATGCATATAATACTTGACAAAAAAGTCTTTCATAGAAAACCGTCTATCTACTTGTAAGCAAACCCTTATGATATTTTACCTCAATCGCCAGTAAACCTTTCACAAAAAACTTACCCTAGTCGTAAGTGAACCTTCGAAAGATCCACATTCCGCACAAGTAAGTTTTTCGCAATCCACACAAATATCTTGGCCTTTGCGCATGCCCGAGCCGTCCACGCGCAGCTCGTTCTTCATACAGAGTGGACATAATGGTACGTCCTTGAGGTCGGGTTCCACAGACTGTGCTCGTTGTTCTACCGTTAATGCATAAGCCGTGTAGTCTTGCTCTAAGTCCCTGTAATGTACAAACGATCACACGTTATAGATAAAAAGACAATTACATGCATTATAGTGTTGCTAGACGTTCAAACACTGATTAGTTTTACGACAATCTTACAAAAAATCAATAAAATACATTGTAAAGATAATTTTTCCGTGGTATATAATTTTCGTGTTTTTGTTGAAATTATTATTTTCGCGGGTCTATTTTCGAAAATTTCAGATATAGTAGCCATGGCACAAAGTGCGTCGGTGAGAATATATTAATTGACATTTAATTTCGCTTGTTATATTTTTCCTGAACGAAATGTTACCGCCAAAATCTCAAAAATTAGAGTCCCGCGAATAGATCCCTCTTTTTCAATAATTGTAATTATTGAAATCAAAAGCTACATTTTCATGGGAGACAAAATGATCATATGCAAATACAATGTAAATTTAAAGGTGTATTATAAACTATTTTGACTATCGAACTTTGTGTATATATATGCTATATGGACTTCAATTAGTCCAAACTGTATAAATAGATAGAAATAAGCAATGGTGCAGTTTAATATGCTAACGCGTGATCGAACCATGGTCACCAATTGTCAACCAAGTATAGACCCCATATCAATGTACTCTCCTTAGAAGATCTTTGACACTGTGAGGAAATGGAATAGTCTCAGTACCGTTATCTGTTATTTTAAAACAAGTAATACCCTTCAAACGAAAACGTTAACAGCATAGTTCTATCTAATATATTATACACATGTCATGGAGTTCGAATATGTGATGTCCTATGTTCACTAATTGAAGACATTCCGGTCTTTTTGCGACGTTAGGACAACGGTGTCTGGGTCGCAACATCCAGAAAATACCTGACATCACGCACGTGCCAACAGTTCCATTGTCTGATTTGTTAGCGGTCACGTGTACGGGCTCTCACCAAGGGGACGGTGACATAAGTCCCGATGATTGGGTCCAGACAAGAAGTGTTGGCACGCTACAAAGCAGCGGAAGACCCTTCATCGGTGTTACATCAAGAACCAGACTTTGGCGATGCACGAGTGTATTTTAATTATCTCCTGAAGAAAAGTCTTACAACGACAAAGCCTCGTATGCAATGCATTTAGGGGATCAATGGCTTTGGAATGATAAAGTTTTATGTGAGCGAGCATGAAGTCAAATCGTAAATATATATATATATATATATTTATGTGAGCTTTGTATCAATATTATACTTTTCCCTTTGCATCATTGTCGTGACATTGTAAATGATCTTTTTAGATTTTTTAATAAAAATAAAAATATTCAGTTTCCCATTAGTAAATTTGAATTGAACTATCGCATAATTTCAAATTTAGCAACGAGTAGACTTTTTGTTGATATATACATACTTTTTATCATATAGATATACATACATACATGTATCTCATTATACAGATACACATGAATTTTTGTCTACTGTAGTAACACACGGTATTTGAGTTCGTTAAGCTGTATCCAATGCTATAAATACATAAGGTGGAGCCACACGATTGTTCGAAATGTGTCTTAAATCAAGATTAAATAATTTTTTATATAAATTTCAAGGTAAAGGCTACCAACACCGTTATAACTGCCATTATCACTATTGTGTAATGTTTGTTGAATACAAAATATTTTTTCAAAAGAATCACCTGGTTCTACGCATTCAAAAAAAATTACAGTTTGTTCGAAAGCAAAATGTTTGAAAAATAGAGAAGAAGTATAATGCAGTGTCGTATTCAGGACCTTGGCCATGTAAAGCCTATGCAACATATCAATGTTGCCTGCCAAAAAATATACCAAAACATCAAAATGAATGTCAAATTTATTGGCCGCAAACCATATCAAACACTTGAAATGGGAGTTATTTGAAGCCAGAAAACTCATTTTGGTTGCTTCATTTTCTAAATGGAAGGCAGAATACTCAAAGTCTAAACAAATACTCTGATTGTGGAATTCTTCTTGGTGATTATACCTGATGTAGTGTCGCCCTTAAGCTTAATGTGAATGTTATGATAGAAGTTATCACTTAAGTAATAAGAAGACCCCTAATTGATGCTGTAGTAACCCTAAAATTCGACCCCCTGATAAGTTGTATTCAGAGACCTCAATTTTTTTTATATATAAATAATTTGAAAATATTGAACTTTGTACATTGGCTATCAAATTAGTACATGACCAGGTTAACGTAGTCGATGATAAGGCATTAAGGCTGATGTCTTCATACAAATAGGTTTTTACCGCACTAATATGTCAATTTTTTTTGCGATCCAACTTTTTGAGAAATGACATTTAAAGCTGTTGAGAGTTGTGTTGCAAAAGAGATTGACATGTTATAAGTCTGGTTAGCTATTTTTATGAAGATAGCAGCCTTAATGTTTTATTATTGACTACATTAATCTTGTTATGTACCTTTTTAATATGTATTGAAGAGTTAAATTTATTCAACTAACATATTATATTTATTCCGTTTTTAATAAAGATATGACAACCAGGAGGTAGAAATTTAGGGTAAAAATAACAGTTTTATGGGGCTTGTTGAACCTTTAAAGATTTCCAGTAGAAAAAAAAGGTATAAATTCAAGGAAGTATTTCCTTCTTCCTTTTCTACAGTGTGAATCAGTGTATGTGTAATGTTTTACCTTCCTGTAAACTATTTATCAAAAACTGGTACTATTCAATGTCTTTCTTGCATTCCAAGAAAATACAATTCATACAGTCAAAAAACACCAGTATCAGGTTGTTTATTTATTTAAGATCAATTGTATTTTTCATAATGTTCTTCATAATACATAACCATACACACTATCAAAATACTCCCCAAACGATTTTGTGTGCAAAAACATGTTCTATTGTTGCAAATGCAAATCGAACAGTTTGAGTCCCTAAAAACAATGTTTGCACGAAATAATGATTGCTCCCTAGCGTGCGTAGAGCTATTTATAACCATTACGTTAACAGTGGTTTGGTCGATAGGAGAGCGTACCGTGATCGCGCCACTCAATCGATTGAGACGGCGATTTGTAGGATCGGGAACTGATTCCGCTCGGCGAAGGCCAAGGTGGGTCCCGGTATAACTATGTTCACCATAATTACGGGCCTTCCAAGGCATCATCCTGATATATATGATTCAGCTGCTGATACGGCAGAACAATGACGTTGTACCTTAAACCAGTACGCAAGTTTACGTCGCTAAATAACTACCCACCACCGGTTGTAATCAAGCATTGCGTAAAAAGGAAACAGCCTAATAAAAGAGCAACAATGCAGGTATAGATTGCTAATGAAAAGCAGTTAAATCGGTAATGTGTCTTTATACTATCGAACTATTCCATAGGTCATGGCTGTAAGTTAACCCTAGGTAATTAATTAAGGAAAGTAAAATAAGATGCATGGGTAAAAACGATCGGAAATTGAACTTACAAGTGCCTGCATATCGAATTAATCAACCAAAAGGCACTTTCAAATTAAAAGAAATGGGTCACCTTTGTGTTTGTCTGCGATAACGCAATTGGTCATCGATTTCAATATAAACGTACGAATATATATTGATTTTACTGAAATTAGTTGCTATACATTGTCGAACTCGTAATGTTGCCATAACAGTTTTGGTGTGTCAGGAATATTTTAACATCGTAGTAATTCTTCAGCTCTAAACTGAAAAAGACAGAGGAAAACGTAAAAACACGACAGTCTCTTGATTATTCATAAATACATCAGTCTTTTAGAAAATGAATTTGAATCAGTAAACATTATAAAAGGGCCTGCACGTCTTTCAAATGACAAGCGTCGCCAATCTTGTGAGGATAAAAGCAAGAAAAAAAGAAAAAAATATGGAATAAAGAGAAAGGAGACTCTGTGATCTTGCAATGTTGATTTTTAGTTACCGTCCTGGACATGTGAGACCACTCCTATTAGACTTAAGTGAGTGCATGTCTTGTCTGTTGGAAACATGTGAGGTAGATTGAGATCAAGAAGATGGTTAAATATTGGCCTTATTGATCGCCTAGACGCTGACACCACACACAAACAGACACCCAGACAACTAGCACGTGTCCATGTATGGACAGATGTATTACTACACAAGCACTATGGTGAGATGCGTGGCTATCACTGACGGTAATTGTCACGTGGCCGAGTGGTCCGTGTGGTCAGCGCGTGTCGTAATAGAGACTGCACCCAATGCTCATACAACGCTTTATACGCGGTTTTGCGAGGTCTACGCCGTGTCCGACAGCTGACGACAATAACCCGCAACATTTTACGACATAGAGATTATTTGAATTTTATCACCTGCCTATATGCTCATTTCGTGTACTCCCATATGGGTAATAACAGTTTCAGCACGACGCCTTCCTTTGACTTTGATAGTTCTCCATTGACAGGATATGATTTCCATCTCACAGAGATCGTGTCTATTCTCATTTACCTTTCCAGATATAAGGAACCCTGCACGTATATAGTTATGCCCAAATATATCAAAAACAAACTGTCACTTAGTGCTCAGTATCCTGCCTATGAATCGAGACATTGTAAAGCATTTTGAGCAGTTGTTCAAAACAAACCCCAAACTTGGTATGCTACAATGCATATTCTCCCACCAGTACCATAGTTATTCTTCCTCCGGATCATTTGATAAGCCTGCAAGGATTTGCGTTTCCACTTGTACGTTACACGCTGGCATTATTTCATATATAAATCTTCTCATTATTCTATTGTAATGTCATGATTCATGGCAACTGTTTTCTCTGAGCAGAAACAAAAATAATATATTTCCAGGGGAAACAATTGGTTCCTAGTTAAAATAGGAAAGGTATGGGCGAAACATGTCCTGAAACGAGTCATGGCCGATTATCATATGCATCTAACTGTCATTAGTTTCTTTTGAAATCATATGGAAAAAATCTCGGTAAATCACGTGTCTTTAAAAATTTAAAAATCGCCAAACTCGAGTTAGATAAACGTGATAGCCAATTAGCGTTC